TTTGTTTTTCTTATATGGAATATTAGGAGCCCTGGTGGTGTAGTGGTTAAGGTATTTGGCTGCTAACCAAATGGTCTGTGGTTCGAACCCACCAAATGCACCAGATTTATAGCCTTGGAAACCCAATAGGGGTCACTATGAGTTGCAATCGACTCAATGACAGTGAGTTCAGTTTGAGTTTTTATATGGAATATAAGACTTATAAAGCGCAAACATAGTTGTGATATGCAAAATACTTTTTAATTTGCTTTATCTCAATGTTACTTCTATTTGAATTTTACCTTTGACAACAGGAAAATAAACTTAATGCATTTTCTATTTCTTTTCCATGAAGATATATATTTTTAAATCTGAGTCAAGGTGAGCACTAAAGACTGAAAATTACCTAATGTGAGAGAGTCTTACTTAAAATTTCGAAACTTAAAATGAGAAAAACTATTAATTTTTTATTAAAAAGTATTTACTCTGAAATTTTATATAGGGTTGCTATGAGTTGGAGCCGACTCAGCAGCACCTAACAACAACAACATGCTGTAACTTACAAAACATTGCCACATTTTATTTTATTTCCTTCTCAGAATCACCTTTGAGTTGGATACCTTTATGTCTGCTTCATATATGTGAAAACCAGATATACAGGGACATGGCATCAAATCACTTTCTGGCATAAAATGAAAGAACTAATGTGCATATGACATGTCCAGGACTTGAATTCAGGTTGAGTTCAAATTATTTATTATTTTTAAAATTCTTCTCTATCCTAATTTTACTTTTTTTTCCTGTAATATAAATGAAAACAAACAAACAAACAAACAATTGGAATCGATTCAATTCTGACTCACAGGGGGCCTGTTGGGCTGGGTAGAACTGCCTTACAGGGTTTCCAAGGCTGTAAATCTTTACAGTAGCACAATGACACATCTTTCCCCAATGGAGAGGTCAGTGGGTTCAAACCACTAACTTTTGGTTAACAGCAGAGCATCTACCCACTGCTCCACCAAGGCTCCTATAAATGAAAAGCAGATATTTAATAGCAAGCATGGCCAATTCTTTAAATGAATAATATGACATGAAGATTTTCTCATTGCAATCACAAGAATCCTATTTGACAGCCAAGGTTTTGATAAGTTTTGAACACTGCTAAAAGTAGAAGAATAGTTAAATCGTCACTCTGGCTTTAGAAATTTTAGCCAAGGAAATCAGAGCAATACCCTACAGTTTACATTCTGTAGCTGCAGAGAACCTGCCCTGTCAAGTCCCTGATGAATTTCCCCACAGAGCTAATTACTTGTTGAAAGGAAGGAGGTAAAGATAAGCATCCCCTGGGGGTATTTGTTCTTGAAGTGATTGCAAAAGAAGTGCTAGTACTATACACAGCTCTTCATCACATCAGCTCCTAAGATACCCGAAACTGATGTTCTCCCAAAGAGGATATGTCATATCTTGAGGGCCATCATCATATTAACAAAACAAGGATTGGATGGAACAGACTCTGTAAAGAGAGACCAGAATCCACACAGTTGACCTGCAGAGGAGAAATGAAAACCTTTTGCCTGTTACCTGAAGGTGTTGTTGTTAGGTGCTGTCGAGTCGTCTCTGACTCATAGCGACCCAATGCACAGCAGAACGAAACACTGCCCAGTCCTGTGCCAGCCTCATGGTTCTTGCTTCATCTGAGACCATCATTGCAGCCACTGTGTCAAACAATCTTGTTTAGAGCCTTCCCCTTCTTCGTTGACCCTCCACTTTACCACGCATGATATCCTGAAGGTGTTAGTGCTTATGTAAGGTGTGTCTTGATGAGGACTTAATCCTTATCTATCAAAGAACCCCCATCCAACTCTCCCATCCCCTCTTGAACTCTTCCCATGCTCATTTCCCAACTAGATCCCCAAACTTAATCTCCTCAGTGACCCTTTTAAAAATCCCTTTGGGAATCTTAGCACAACAGGATTTCCACCTGATCAGCATTCTCTCCTCCCACCTTGCACCACCCCCATGGGATTTCCCCTTGGTTCTTTTTCTCACCTACATTAACAATAGCAGGGTTCTCTTTAAAGCATGTTCTGAGGGCAAAAATTCTACATTACCATATCCATTTTTACATCTGAAAATCAGAATTCTTTTAGGCAAGAAAAGGAACAGATCAAGGATGGTGTGTGTGGTGCAGAGCACAAATGAAAATTTTGTTATTTCTCTTATAATTGTTTTAGTTAAACAGCTAGCAGTGAAGCTTTAAGAGGTATCTGTAACTACATAGTCCCCTCTTCAATGTCAATATACCATTGACTTTTACTTAATATTCCTTCTTCTGCTTATTTGTGAGTATATTTCATACCACGCCTTTAACAAACTCATTTAGTTTTTAATACCTAAGAAGCTGCTGCTCTCCTGTAGTGTCATGGTGCTTAAGATGAAGAGGAATGCTCCTGACACGAGGGGTGTCAGATTTAGAACTTAAGAATGAAGACTTTTTTTTTTTTTAGTGTTAAGTATGTCCCAAATATTACATACTTATGGGATATGCTTATGTCATGTGTAATATTATGGTAACACTAACAAATCTGCTGTTTATCTGAAATGTACATTGAACTGGGTGTTTTGTATTTTATCTGACAACCCTATCTGAGACCAGGTTTCAGATCCCACAGAGCTGAAGCATGTCAGAGAAAGCACATTTTCTATTTAACTTTCACAATAAGTGGAAAGGTAGAGTGGTAGTCTTTTCCCATTAGAAATGGGGTAGGAAAGGCTATCAGTTCAAATATGTATATCCCATCAGGGTTGACCCACTGTGTACATGTTTAGGTTCTCTAGCGGCACTCTTAACAAAAATACCACAAAAGGATGGCTTTATTTATTCTCTTACAGGTTTGGAAGGTAGAAGTCCAAGTTCAAAGTGCCAGCTCTAGGGGCTGGGTAAAGGCCCCTTGACCTTTGGCTTCAGCTCTGTTTCTTGTTCCCAGCCCACTGGAGCTGGAGGCATCTCTTCACTCAAGCAGCTGCTGGCTGCTGAGGCTGACAAACTCTAGGTCGACAAGGAAAGTGACACAGTCCCAAGATTATCAAGCAACATGGCAGGCCATTCCACGATGGCTTGGCCAAACACAGGATCCAAATGTGCCAGGAAGCTAGAGACCTTTCTCAAAGTGTCTTCTTACATACTGGAAGGAGATTGTATCCCTAAAACAGCTACTCGGCTGCTCACAGCAGATCCCGCCATGAAGTTGATTATAAGTCTCCACAGGCATTAACTACATCCAGCTGCCCAGCCACTCAAAACCAGGCCCAGTCAAGCTGATACACAACCTTAACAACCACAGTACCTCAGAATCAGGGTGGATGATATCTGTTCCATAGTGTCTTCTAAAATATAGTATGAAATTATTCATGGCATCTTTGGGAGGCATGCATTTTAATTAATTGCCATACTTTTGTGATTCCTCCCTGAGGTGATAATTAAAATATTAACTCCATAAATCTAATCAGTAAATTCTTGGGTCTATTTTAATATGGACATTTAACAATTTTTTGAGGACTGAAGTAATGAGGTTGGTATAATGCAAGATAAATCAAAGTAACTACCATGAAGTCCATAAAAATAAGAGTTTCTCCAAAGTGTTAAACTGACACACATTCCTTAAGAGCACATCTACAAGCCATGTCTGAATGTCCAATCACATTTTAGGAAATCAGTTTTGGTTAGAGTTCAAATGAGCCAGGTTTTTAAAACTCCAAATTTTGAATGTCAAATTGTAATCCTAATAGGCTCTAAAACTACCCTGACTCTAAACCCAGAACATTAAGGGCAACAAGGCCCAAATAGGAAGTGTGTCACCATGCATCACAGCTTTAATGTCATCCATTGGCCTGACGTTTTTAGACATGAGAATGTAATTCCTACCTTTACTCCATTTCGTCCAATTTTTAAAGACAGACAAGGTTTGGGCTTTGGGTGGGAAGAAATGGCATCTGTCATGCCCTTACTCTTCTCAAAACTCTGATACAGTATGGTAGATTAAAGATGGTGGCAAATTCTTTGCTATTTCTCACACTGAGAGATGGAGCTTAATTTCCTTTCTCCTGAATCTGAGTTGGCTTTAGTGACATGCTTGATCCACAAAGTACAGCATAAGTGATGTGCTAGGACTTTCAGGATACTTTCATTAGAAACTTTTTGATTTCTACCCAGGCCTCTTGAAACATGTTATCTGGGAGTGGTGAGCTGCTGTGTAACTGCCTGAGATCACAATACAGGAAAGATCATGTGTAGGTCATCTGGTGGAAGTTCCAGGAGAACCTAGCCTTCCAGGCATTTCCATCCAGGTTGACATGAGAGTGACGTCATCTTGGTTTTTCTAGACCAACTCATCCCCCAGCTAAATATCATTCAAGGAACTCTGTTGATGCCATGTGAAAGAGGAAAATAGCCTGGCCAAGCCCTGCTGGAATGAACGTCTTACCCATGAAATCGTGACATAATTACATGGTTGTCATTTAAGCCCTTGAGTTTTGGAGCACTTTATTATAACTTGAACAGTGACATGTTGAACTGCAGGCTGAAAATGTAGTAGAATGAAATGGAAGAAAAAAAGGGTGGGCTGATTAGAGAAGGCAAAGAAAGAGTAGTGCAGTAAGATTCTCTAAAAAGAGATCATAAATACCATAGACACCACTGAAAGAGGAGCTAGGAACTTATTGCAAGTTTAAAACATTGGAGTCACAAATTTTTAGCAGTCTGCCACCATGATTTTGGCAAAACTCACAACTTTGACCCAACTTCTTAAAGATTCAGAGGGAAAATAGCAGTCAAGTCTCACCTCATGCAGATGCTGTGAACAGTAATGAATAAACATGACAAATGAATATGCTGCAAATAAGAGCTGAAAATGCTAAATATGTAAGAAGCAATCTTTGTGCCGACTGAAAATCTTTCATCAGATGATTTCAAATTGGAGGTGTCTCAGGAGAAAGTAACTTTGGAAATACAGAGTTTTATATTTTGTACTTTTATTGAAAAGATACATTTAAAAAAATACACAGACATTTTACCATTTACAGATTGCAGATATAGATGCTCTAGAAGAGTTCACTCTATTTTGTTGTTTTATGATACCTCTTGCCCCTGATATCACAAACATTCCAGTCTTATTGATATCAGCTTAGAAAGGGGGGCATGGGGACAAAACCTGCAAGATAGTTAGTGAACAGAAAGACAAGTTGTTCAATTATAAATTGTTTTGTATCTTCTGTACATTATTGCATTAGGGAGCCACAAAATTATGTAGCATCATTACAAATGAGAACAAGTTAAAAACGAAGAAGATAATTATGTAGAAATATATGGATTCATTGCTTTCTTGCAGAATGCACAAGAGGTGCAAAAATGTGCAATTTAGGAAGCTCTTTTTCTGTTTGTATACATTTGCTTAGCAACTCAAACCAGTGAGGAAGCTACAAAATAAATTAAACAAAAATAGCAAACAGGTAGTAATTATAGCTATGTTATATGGCTTTCTATTTCTTTTAAATATCTCCAAGTAAATGTGAAATAAAGAAAATACATTACTTTACCTTTTGTTCTCTTGAAGAGAAAATTCAAAGCTATTTTGCTTCCTAACATTTACACAGCAACAAAAAATGTTTAATTCAGACAAGAGATACAATCTAGTACGACACAGGATACAACAGTACTTGGGTCTAAAACAGTACACAATCCCTGTCAACAATAGTACACCAAAAAGAAAACACGGTGATCCATTGGTAAGATGGTATCCACAAGTGAGCACTTGTGTTCATCTATTTTTTGTTCCGCACTAGAATATACCCAGTTGGATTCCAGAATTATTTACAGACATGTGAGGAAGACCCTAATTTTCAAGTCTGTCAGGAAAATATTCCATATTGTTTCTAAGCCAGATCACACCCATGGGAATAATTTTAGAGAATTTTTTTTTTTTTTTTTTTTTTACCTTTTTTGAGCAATACGTTCTCAAGAAACAAAATATCTCAGATACATAAATTGAATTAAGCAGATGGGGGATGGGTAGGGGTAGGGGGTATAGCCTGTGCTGCTCAGAACTCTAAATTATAGTTGCAGTCCATGAAGCACTCTTGAATCTAGTATTTGCTTTTCTTTGGAGCTGGGGTTAGGGGTGAGATGCTACATTTTGTGGGTGGGTAGGGGCGTGGCAACACAAAATGCTTAAATTGCTGAGTCATTTTGGCTTTCCTTTTTAACTTTCCTACTGGCTTCAACTGTCTTGGAGCTCACAGACATTAGTATGGAGCAAAGAGGATAGAGGCAGGAGTGGCCCTGATGGGCCCGTGGCCCGGCCTCAGGAGAGCTGGAGGTATGGCTGGAGCCTGGAAGAGCGAGGCAGATGGACGGGGAGGCAGTGACAGTGCAGAGGATGCTGCCGCCGCTGCTGCCAGGGGTGAGGACAGGAAGGCTGGGGCCAATGGCTTCATCATATCTTTCTGGAATGCAAGTTTTGCCTAATGGAGGGAGAAAACCACAAATGGGATGGGGATATTTCCAATAACAACAGCACAGATTTTGATTAGTAAAACACCAATATTAAGAAGTCTTATATTTAAAAAATTTTTATACTCAAAAGTGAAAAGATGAATATTTTCACAAAGCTGGTTTCAACAGCTCTTGGCACAGCTTTACTTTTGATTGGTTTCCATGTCAGCTCTTTTCTGGTGGTCTTTGCCCCTGGGCACTAGAGCATAGGAAAGCCTCTCTGAATAGGTACTAATGCTATTTTATGCTGTTGCTCAGCATGAAAAAAGAAATACACACACACACACACACACACACACACACACACATATATATAGAAAGTTTCCTGTTTAGGCATGGGGTTCCATCAAAATTCTGACATATCTTAACCTACAATGCACCTTGAGAGAGATGTGTTGGGAGAATATGTGTGACCCTTCACTTAACTTAGATAAGGTGCGCTGAAGTCAGGTAACTGGGTTTCAGGACATTAAGGACCCATGAAGAGTCATGAGACATAGTTAGATTACCTCTCTTATTTGACACTGAAGAGTAGTCCTTGAAGAGTTGCAGCTAAACCAAATTTCTAGAAAGATTGTAAATGAACTAGGGACATTCTCTATTTAAAGAATCCTAAGGTAAAATCTTTTTGTGAAGGAAAAAAAAAAAAAAATCAATCCTAATTTCCCCGTTTGCAATCAGGAGGAGTTTTGCAAGCTGGATTTGCTTAGTGCAGGTAACACCTGCTGGCAGCATCAGATGGAGGATTTGGGAGAAGCTGGGAGGTAATCTCATCATTGGCTCCAATTGGCCAATTGCAGTTTCCTCCTCAGCCTGAGCTCCACACTGGGCTGAGTCCCAGGGAGATGGTGAAATCCCTCCATCTGGGTATTTATATAACATCTATTGCTGGAGCTCCTAGGTATTTTTGCAAAGAAACTGAAAACAGCACACATACTGAGAACAGGTAAGACAGGCTGATTACCAACATGCCTGCCAGACACAGAAAGATGGAGCAATACAAACACTGATTATTTTCTCATACAAAATAAGCAGCCAGCAAGGAAGAGGATATGAGATGGATGGATTTTTGTTTCAGAAAACCAATCCAATCCCTCTTCGCAGGTTCAACATTTTCCAGGGTTCCTCAGGCATCATTTGTCCTCGGTCCTGAGCTTTGATTTTCGTTTATATGCTAAATAAGTTAGTCTTTTGTGAAGGTCCTGATAAAGAGCAAGGTACATTTTTTTTTTTTCCCTATAGAGACTCTTTTAGTAAACTTTAAACAGGTCAAAGACAAAACAGACATAATCATCTGGATGAGAGAAACTGTCAGCATGAGGCTGATGGAGTCCACTGGCTCACAGCCATGGTTTTCATGTATATAATAGAGAACAAATCATCACAAGATCATGATTGGTGGCAGGTCAATCCATCACTCTTGTAGGTGGGACTAAAGAAGTGAGGAAAGGACCATGATTGGGATACGTACACAATTGCAGGTTATAAAGTTTATGTGATGAATTCTGGGGCTTCTACCACCTGGCTACTTGGTGGTTGGGGTATATGATTCATGACCATGCAGCCCTGAGTCGCACTAAACTTTTAAAGTGGTTCACTTCCTCTTCTTGGAGGCAGCTTTCTTCAAGGTGTTCTATGTTGTTGTTGTTGTTCGCCATCGAGTCGGCCCCGACTCCTAGCGACCCCTCCTTGGGTTTCCGAGGCAGTTATCACTATGGAAGTAGGATTGCCCAACCTTCCTTCCGAGGAGTGGCTGGTGGGTTTGAACCGCCAGCCTCCTGGTTAGCAGTCAAGTGCCTTAGGCACTATGCTACCAGAGCTCCAAGGTGTTCTATAGAAGGTGTTCTATAGCAGGGACTAACCAATTCCTTCTAAAAATTTGAATGTCTCTGAGAGCTATTTATATTCAAAACGGTTCATGATCAACTAAATTAGTCTCTAGGCCCTCCTTTCCCACAGTGCCTATAACCCAGCAAGTTAACAAAACAAGTGAAGAAAGAAGGTGAACTTACTGCTAAGATGCTTGGGCTCCGCTGGAGTTTGTTGTAAGGGCTATATTTCGGCTTCAGTGGTTTCCCTGCAACTCGATCCTTATGCCTCCGGCTAGAAATGTGCTGAAGAAAAGTTCAATGCATAGTTGAATCTAAATATGATTTTGTTCCATGTAAAAGATATTTCATAGATAGAGGTAGTGGATCTCTCCATAGTGGGTCCATAGTTCCAAGAAGGTTAGGGTAAAATAACCACAATCTGTAAATAAAAACTTGCTCCTCCCTCAACTGTAAAGTCTGTTGGAAATATTTATAGGATCTGGCTTGGTGCTACTAGAGTTATGGGTGAGTCTGTGTCCCTAACAAGGTTTTGGGTCCTCGGAAAACTGACTTCTCTGCTTGATATGTGAGCTCCAGATGACTGCTGTTTTTATTCCCCTATTTATAACATATACCTCGGGACCTGGCAAACAGTAAAACCTGGGACCTGGCACATAGTAGGTGCGCAAATTTCTGATGTAAGGCATTTAAATATCCAGTGACTGATTTTTCTCTTCCACATAGCAACTGTACATTGGATATATTCTGTATGTATTATTTTATGTTGTTAGTTGCTGTTGACTTGAGTCGTACTCATGGCGAACCCATGTATGTAGAGTAGACCCACTCAATAGGGTTTCCAAGGCTGTGATTTTTTTGGAAGCAGACTGCTAGGCCTCTTTTCCCAGGCACCTCTGGGTAGATTCGAACCACCATCTTTTCAGTTTGTAGTTGAGTGCTTAACCGTCTGTGCTACCCAGGGACTCCTCAAAGGAGATGCATAATCAATGGCAACCCCAAAAAGCTGTGAATTGATTCAAAGTATATTACCTGTTTGAGTTGAATTTCTGAATTAACATGAACATCACAGATTTCACAATGAAATGTCTTGTTCTGTAGTCCTGACCCTTTACTGCCATTCTGCATCTTTAATCTTGATCCAGGTCTAGGATAGGACTTAATTGGACCAGCCCCATTACGAGCTTCAACCATTGTCTTGTGTTTAGAGCCTAAGACAGAAAGACACATATATTAAAAAGATATTTAAGAACTAAATGATGTTCATTTTCTTCCCCCTTATCCTAGAGAAGTTTATTTGCAGGCTAAAGTTCTCAACACTTAAAAAAATATCACTTTAGTAATGTTTATACATATAATAATTTTCATTGTAAAAATGGGAAAATATAAAAATACATAATAAAAGGAATAGGGAAAATACAGACAAGCATGAGAAAATAAAGGTTACCTATATTTTCACCATTCAGAGATAACAAGTGTTGTCATTTTAATGTATTTCTTTTCAGGCTTTTATTTTTGTATACCAAAAATATATTTTTAAAACTGAGGTAAATTTAAAATTTCACATATCAAAGCATGTTCATATTTTCTTATCATTACATTTTAATAGCTGAATAATAGATTCTATTAGATTGAGCTTACTATAATTTATTCAACTTGTTCCCATTGATGGACAGTTAAGTTTCTTCCATGTTTTTCTCTTATAAATGTGAGGCAGTGAACACTGTACATAAATATTTGTATATTCATCAAAATGAGTTTTGTACAGTATTAGATGCTCATGAGGAAACAGCAAAGAAAAAGTTTTATCTCTACTTTGCTTTTGCCTTTCTGTTTCCAAAATTATTATGATCATACTTTTCTTAAAAATCACACCTTTGAATGAAAAAAGTAGAGAAGACGTTGAGCAAGCCTAATGTTTGAATAACAAAAGATATAGCATTCTGATGAGGAAAGTTGGGTTTTGCTATAAACATCATTTAAATTCAAAAGATAGCTGCTAACCTGTGTTGTGCGCCTCTAGCTGTGACAGGGAGTTCACAGCCACTTTGCATAGTGAACAATAGAGTAATTTTTTGGCTTTTTCTTCTTCTGATTCAGAAACAGTACCGGGAGCTCCATTTGTGCTCTTGGAGGGAGAAGTAGGTGCTCCAGGTGGCAGGAGTGTTGTGCCAGATTTGAGAAGAAATGAACCACCTTCAGAGCTTGACGGCTGACTGGAACTGCTGGCTTTTAATTTCCCTTTATCTTCTAAAAGATAAGAAGAAACTGTTTTTATGAACTGAGTGATCAACATGGTGGCATTGAAAAATAGGAGGACATAGAGAGGTGCATGGGAGGTACAGACAACAAAGATGAACCCTTCTGCATATACAGTGCTGCACTGTCAGTGAAGGCAAACATTGATGTATGGGTGGATAGATGGGTGGACAGGCTGAACTATTAGGTATATCTATGCAGGAGGGAGTGTGCCCAAGACCATGTATAGGGTTGACAGACAATGTTTCTACAAGCGTATTGGTATGTTTTGTAAGAATTCCCAGGTATATAGTAGAGCTGACAAGGGACAAGGTTGTAGTTACTTCTTGGCCACAGCCAGGTACCCAGAAGGAGCAAGTAGTTGGACCTGTGAGCTTGGAACCACAGTTGCAGGGGACATCAAGCTCAATTGGCATAACATACTACACAAAAGCATTGTTCCACATCCTACTTTGGTGAGTAATGACTGGGAACTTAAAAGCTTGCAAGCAGCCATCTAGATGCAACGATGGGCCTCTCGTCATCCAGAGCAAAGAAGAGTAAAGAAAACCAAAGATTCATGGAAATAATTAGTCCAAGTGACTGGTACACCATGTGATCTTCAGCCTATATGAGTATGAGACCAGAAGAACTAGATAGTGCCTGGCTACCACTGTCAACCACTCGGAGAGGGATCTATGTAGAGCTAGATACAGTGGGAGAACAATGTGGAACAAAACTGAAAATCATTAAAAAAAAGGGGGGGGGAGCAGTTTTGCTGGTCTGATAGAGCCTGATGGAACCACTGAGACTATGGTCTCTAGCTGTCCTTCAGGTCTGGAACTGAATCCACTCTTGTGGTTTCCAGCCAAACAAAAGACAAGCATATGAGGTGAACATTTACATTAGGAAGATACACTCCTTGGAGAGAACAATCATGGGAGAAAAGAAGGGTTGTGTATGCACAGGGAGACAGCTCAGGGGGCAGGAGTGCATGGGAGGGAAGGACACAGGGAAGAGGTAACCATGGGGAGGAAGTGGGAGGGGAGCTGTTGCATTGTGGTAAATTGTAGTCAATGTCATGAGACAAAGTAAAGTGTATGGGAGCTGCTGTATGGAAAGTGAATTTGCTCCATAAACTTTCACCCAAATAACAATAAACAAACTAACAAATAAAAACAAAGAAAGATGCTATTAAATCCTTGTATATGAAATAAACAGATAAATTACCATAAAGGAATTCAAAATGGAAATATGGTTTATATGCATAGTTTTTACTGCAGCACAGATTTTATTTCATAGCTTGAGTTAAGTAGAACTTCAAGACATCAGTTTCCACATTAGTCCACCTCAAGATTATGTTGACTTTATTCTTCCACTTGGAGTTGATAACTTTCTTTCTGATATCCTTGCACTATAAATTATGCTCCAAGGATGGCTTTAATGTATAATGAAATCCGCTACCTCCAACACTATTGTATGATATGATGGCAATGTGAAAGATGTCATTAGACAATGTTAGTTTCATTTGATGACTCATGTTTTAGTTATGATATAAATATAAAGTTAAAATTCAATTTTTATACCAAATTAAAAATTTAACTTTGGGATTTGGGATAGAAGAGAAGAAAGAAATGGTTAATTCTGGCTACAAGTAGTTAAGTTTTTGCTGTTCTCAAATGTCAATGCAATTTATCCAATGTATATGAGGCAAAGATTCCATTCATTATGCTTATTAATTACTGCCAGTCTAAATGAAAAATTCTAAATAATAACATTAACCATAAGCACAATATGAGGATTAGCCAAATAATTTACAAACATCTTGGCATTTTGATCATGTAGCTACTAACTGCATATAATCCTTAAGGCCCATGCAGAGGCAATGAGAGAGTCAGAGTGACTTTAACAAAATCTACCTCATTGGGGTTCATTTCCTATTCAAGACAGGCTCTGTTCAATAACTCCTTTGGGAGGTTCTTAGGCAACAGCAAAATTCATCACATATTTAATCCTAGTAGAGCTGGTGCACTTAGAAAATGTCTACAGAAATGCTGATAAGCTCTCAATAAGAAAGCAAAGGAATCAAAACTGAAAATACAGTTAATTGTCATAGCTAATTTGGAAGTGTGTTCGATTGGCCTGAATGACCAAGAGAGGAGGAACGACAGGGAAACAGTTATGGTGCTGTACGTCTGTCTGCTATAAGCTTCAGAGTATGGGGCAAACCAAAGCTGTCAGGATTCATCAGAAATAGTGGGAGATCATATTTCTCCTAAATCGAAGGAAAGTTAAATTGATTTAGAGAGAAAGCAGTTAATTTCTATCCCTTTCCTCAAGTTCGATCTATCCAGGAATGCTACAGCAGAGGTGCTATCCAAAGATCTCAAGTCTGGATGGTATCTGGAATAAGGAAATGCTGAAATCCCTTATTAATCTCAGGTTCCACATTCTACACTCCCTTTCCAGCGTATTAAAACTTTAGGATATGTAATGATGGGAAACATTTTCAGCTTTCACTAACATGACTTCAGGAGAAAGGATCAACATCTTTCTTCCTAATTGGTAATAGTAGGTTAATTAGATTGGAATTATTTTTGGCCTGGAACTCTCTCATCTGTAAGAGTCTCTGAGATTGAATTTGCAATCTTATAGAACTTATAAAGCAGAGAAATAATTCAGTAATCTTAAGATTTGTCTGTATGGAATTACTCAGTTTCTTGTGAAAGATACTTAAGATAAGCACACCATCTTTCCTTGCTTTAAGAACTTTATACTTCAAGCATTCTAAATATGACCTAAAAGACTCTGACATCAGTCATTTACTCACTCTCATATTCTTATGACTATTTTAATGGTATAGATCTCCCTCATACATGCTTACATTTATACAGAACTTTACAGTATACAAAGTACTATCAGTTACATTATCTTATTAACACTCACGACAACTTGATGAAATTGGTAAGGCAGATGATTATTTTTTCCTGAGAGATAAGGAAACCAAGAAAACCAAACCAAAACAAAAGGAGCTCTGGTGGCACAGTGCTAAGGCATTTGAGTGCTAACCAGAAGGCTGGCGGTTCAAACCCACCAGCTACTTCCTTCCTCAGAAGGAAGACTGGGCAATTTACTTCCGTAGAGATAGCACCTTGGAAGCCTAAGGAGGGGTTGCTATGAGTAGGAAGTTGGAACTGACTTGATGGCCAAGTCTCATGAAAATTAAATAATGTGCTATAGATCAGTAGGCAGCATAGATGACCATGATGTTTTCTCTAACTGATCTGTGCACAGTGCGCTAAACTACCTGCTTACAGGGGAACACTTCATATAGCAATAACATAAAATACACACAACAGTCATGCTAAGGTATGAAGTAGCTATTGGTATTTACTATTGCAGTTTAGTTTCAAATCATATCTGCCTTAAATGAAAGATATTCACTCTATCTTCTTCATTCATGTCGATCCTAGTCAATACTCATCTGATTCAGATTACATTGAAAAGAAGGATACAATTCTGTTTTTCTCTATATCCCTACTTCTTCAAGAAAAATTGAACAGATTTCCTTTTCAAAAGAGGTCATTTATTCAATAACAAACATATATTAACAGTCTGCTAATTTCAGATAGTATGCTAGATCCTGAAGAGAATAGTAAATAAGGTAGGTATAAGCCTTAAGAAAGTAAGTTTAGTAAAAGAAATAACGTAGTCATTCTAAGACCTATAATTTATGATAGAAACTCTAAGAGGCATGAGAGCATAGAGCAGGAAATGATTACTTCTGGCTGGGAAGAAAGAGACATTTTTCATAAAGGAAGTGGCATTTTGGTTTATTCTGAAGGTCACATTTAGATAAGCATTGGATAGAGGTGAAAAGGAGTGGGAAGGAAATGGTTAGAAGCAAAAACATGAAGAAATTCTCAGGGGTTAGAGATCACAGGACTTGCCTGTTGAATACCTGGTAGCTGAACACAGATGATGGCAATGGGAGATATTATAAAGGTGAATTGAACCAGAAAACATAGGATGGTTCAAAACTATTCAAGTAGATGCTGAGGTTAGAACTTTCCCTTATAAAAATATTGAAAGGTGTTATGTGTTTAACACTTACATGATAAGAAATTTAGATATATTATGTTTTAAATATTTTCTCCTAGGTAGGCTAGAGTTTTAATCTTTGAGACTATTAGGGATAAATTTTAATTTTTTTTTTTGTTGTTGTTATGTGCCATTGAGTCAGACTTGACTCACAGTGACCCCTCCTTGGGTCTCCAAGGCAGTATCACTACAGGAGTAGATTGCCCAACCTTCCTTCCAAGGAGTGGCTGGTGAGTTTGAACCACCAGCCTTCTGGTTAGCAGTCAAGTGCCTTAGGCACTAGGCTAGCAGAGCTCCCAATTGTAACTTTGGAACTATGTAAATGGTTTCATTATATTCTGTTGGATTGGTACAGCTGGTTCAAAAATATCAGGAAAGTCAATGATAAATTTACAGATATTTAAATTGTGGCATTCTTTCTGAATGCATAAATTTATAAGCTACAAAGCCTAATCTTACTATATCTAATCTTAATTACTTGTTATTTTCATCCATTATTTCTCTTCTCTCACTGACATTTATAAAGCCTCCTTATTTTGTAATATTTGAACATTTAATTAATATGCTGTTTACTTCTCCTTCTTTTTAATAAAGATGCATGTCATCTGGAATATCTGGTTAATACAAATTCCATTTTTAAGTATTCCTTCACCCAGTGTTAATTAGCAGGTCTTCTGGTCTTCTGACTGTATTAATTATTTCCCAATTACTCAAACACCTTTTTAAGGTTTTGCCCTATAGGGTTTTTAAGCAAAACTTGCCTAGCTACATCAGAACTGTTCGTTGTAACAAAAATGCATAATTTATGCTTCCAAGTGAATTTAATCCTTCCAAGTAGCCTCCTAAGGAGGTTCCTCATTGATTCACTTATGCCAAAGTGCATACATTTTGGAAAACTTCTTTTGGAATTG